AACAATCTTTAAAGCTCCATAACACACATAATTCGAGGATTGCACCTGTTATATGTCTTCAACAATCTTTAAAGCTCCATAACACACATAATTCGAGGATTGCACCTGTTACATAAAGTACACGTCACACACTTCATGAATCTTTAAAGTTCTACAACACACACACACGTGAGTGAAATATAAATGTTCAATGGGAAAAATTGTGTGTATGTTGTGGTAATTCTCAAGATTATTGAAGACTGACTTCTACGTCATTAAACAACGGACATTTTCAAGAAACGATTAGAATAAATTATTTTACAGCATATTTTACTGGTTTTCGCCACGTGAAGTATTGTTTTCTTGTTCCTAAATATTCAGATTTATTCCTTTCTTTTAAATTTCTAGCGTATTTCTTTGCTTTGGTCAATTTCAACAGCATACTTTTTACATGAAAGTTTATCTGCTGACTTAAACATCAATACCTAATTCCAGAGTTTCTGTAGTTTCTAAGTTGAATACTCAAGTTTTTTGAAAACTCGGTATAAAAGGTAATTTTCAGCGAACTACAACAGTTAAGTTGAAAAAAAAATGCTTCAGATTTACAGCACGTATTTATAAAAACTCTTGACCGTAACTTCAACGTGTTTCGTAGTTTGTTTATTGAAACCAGCAGCAAACATACAGGTATTTGTCTAAGAAAGCTTTTGATCACTAATCAATTTAATAATAAGTTTAAGTATGTCTAAGCTTTCGTTCGGTTGCAAAATACGCAATTGCGAAAGTAAGCGACAAGCTGGTACCTGCATTAAACGGTTTGTGGAGAACTACTCCTTTGATGCAGGACAAACCCCAAGAACTTACCACCCAAGAACTCTTGGTGACCATGTTTCACTAAGCATAACACCTCGAACACACCTTTCAGCCTTCCATTAGAGCAAACAATGGAATCGATAATAGGAAAGAGTATGATTGACAGGTGAAGAAGCAAAATAGCTGGAAAACTAATGGAGCTCTGCGTGTGCCCTTGACACCTGTGACAACGACACTTGGGGGGGTTGGTTAGTAAAGTCCAAAGGCTAGACGAGGGGGAGGGGAATCTTGAGGTCAGTTGCTTATTCAACATGTATACATTTCTAAGGAGTACAACTCACGCTGTTCACTAAATTACAACACGGTTTTTGCATGCGGGATTCTGTACGTGGTTTCTATTACAAGTTTGAAGCAGACGTCTGTAAGTATGGGTTTAATGATAACAGTAGCCCTAACAACAGTTAGATAATTTTAAATATAAATTCCTAATGATATGCAGTCTTACTACACCAGAGACAAAACATTCGAAGGCTTTAATTATTAAATAAAATGACCCTGTAAATAAAAACGTCTGTGTTGACTTGCTTATAAAAACATCCTTTTGCTCTACATGTCAGTTCGAACTTTTCTCTTTCAAATATATCAGCACATTATTAAAATACGTAGTGAATGAACTAAATTTGAAAATTTCGCGCGCTTGACACTACTTTCCATTTTTAATCTATTCGATTGTGTTATATGTTTAAGTTAGCAAGAGGTACGGGAAACAGTGAGAGAACTGATTTATCGTGAATCATATCTAGTAGATTAAATCAGTAATGGGAACGATACTGCTACAGTCCAGTTATTAATACTTTATCGTTTACAAGCCACCAGTCATTTTTTGTAATTAATGTCTTATTTGCAAAGACTTGTTCATACTTATCACCTTTTTCCAATTCACTTAAAATGACAAATTGTGATAATTTGTGGCGTCTTTTGACTGTGGTTTCATTCGGAACTAGTTGCAAATTTAATAGCCTGTTTAAGTTTGGTCTGCCCAGTTTCACCACTCGCTGTGACTTACGTATATAGGAACACTTATAGCATACAAATTGTTAGGATATACTATTCTGCATAGTCCCGCCTTATATTTGGGTTGCATACGATAGGAAAACTGACCAATCATACGACAGAAAAACTCAATGTTCTGCCTTCTAGCAGCCATCTGTTAGTGCTAAAAGCTCGTGATTGGCGTGTCACTTTTAGCGTTGCCCTGTAAGGCGGAGCACCTGCTGAGCACATGCAACACTGTTTCATTTCGCAGAACAAGTTCTGTTAGCTGACGGACAAGCCTACTCCCGTGTGGCAACAGTGGCAGTGATAAAACTGATGAGTTTGAGGGTGGGAGTATGATCTTAGTCTGATCTGTCCATTAGGTGGCGTGACCCCGTGCTCTTTAGTAGACGAATCTGTTGTAAAATTTGGTGTGTTAGATTATTTTACCAGGGGTAAGTTTATAGAAATATAATTCCAGTGGACGTTTTCTTTTTAAAGAAAATATGAACTTTGTTTCTAGAAAATACGAACGAACTCAGTATGTTTTTTTTATGTGTGTGTGCAGGTACTTGAAAAGAAGCAGAGACGGGACCAACAACGTATTCTTCCGGCTTGGCAGACGTGGTGTCGCCCGTGGAGTTGAGCGTCAATTGTGGTCAACACCCTTACACCGGCACCGTGGCGTTCCAACCGGCAAACTCCTCGTGTTCTCCTTTCTCTACAGCAGTCTGTCAGACCACAGTCTCATCCGGTATGGCTTATCTCAAGTCTCCACCTTACTCAGTGAACGGGATCGGGCTGCCTTCCCCCGGAGTTGACCTTCTCCATCCTACCATCGGCTATCCTGGTAAGCCGCTTATACGTGCCTTTCTTTTCTCTTTTCCTGAATGATAGCTTACTTAGTAAGCTAGGCGGTTCCAAGCTAAGCCGTCGCGGCAGCTTCTTCCAAACTCGCGCCATGCGCAGGCATGTATGGCCGGGATTCGGACGTTAGTAAAGCCGATTACACGTCGGTCCTGATTTGACGGATGTTATGAGCTTAGCAAAGAGTAATTGTAACAACGTGGTAATCTAATACGTCATGAATGAGAAGAGGAATTAGGGTAAACACAATATTTGAATTAAACACTGAGCCTTTAATCCCACTTGATTTTTTTAAAGCTTAATACTACTTACGATGACGTGCTATTTGGTGAACGTATCTTAGAACGGTGATCACAGAAATCCTCGGGCTCATTGGTCCAATGCTTAAGTCCATATAGATACTCTTTCGTTATTTATTAAAGGAAAATGCTATATAAGGTGAAGTATTCGTCACATTTTCACACCCGGCCAGAGAGGCACACTTCATAGCTTCTATAACGACAAAACTGTAGAATTCAAATATTATATATCGAAGAAGAATATTCCGAAGTTTTTAGCCTTCTCCAATCATTGTTTGAACCTTATATTAATTCCATTTAACCGTTCTTAGAGATTCAAGTTCGTATGGATCGGTTAAGTATTATGTTACGCTAGGTTAATGTGTCGTGTTATGCTGTGATGTCATTTCGTCGTTTGTGCATTAGGTTCATGGATTCTATCTACGGATTCCTCAAATGCGATACAAAATATGATGTTTATAACGTAATACATGCCAGGCTGCGTGTCACGAAAGTAGGGCAAGGGTTTTTCTAAGAAAGGATCGTGAAGACCTTTATCTCAACAAGTATGTTAGCTGGTTAATAAGTAGACCCGAACCCGGCGAGGTAAGTGACGCACGCACAATATCTACTCTTAAACTTTTTTTTTTTATTTCATAAAGTTGTACAGTTATGAAGATATCGCAGAGTCTGTGGAATTTTTAGACGTGTAATCGCTGGTATTCTAGATTTGTACAGCGGTAATTATTAAATTGTTTCTACGTGCGCTCAACATTTCTGATATTTATCACTTAAACTGTATAACAGGTTATTGTGTGTTATACACTTGGTAATCTTGACATACCGTCTAATCTCTATATACATCTTTTAAGTAGTTAATACTACTTGTAGATAAGACTTTAGCTCAAATGCAAGAGCAACAGTAGAATAACCAATGGTATGTAGTTTTACTATCTCAAACAGGAATATAGCCAATGACATTTAGTTTTATTATCAAGCTGCATTGGTCAGATCATATGTACTGTAGATTAATTGCTGCATGAAGAATGTTAAACACTGTAGGCAGGGATTATTTTACTCTTGCAGGGGTATCAATGCAGTTCTGCTAGGTCATATACTTTTGGAGCTATGTTTACTTTAAGCCGTTACAGATTAACTATATTTTGGCTGAAGGTTGAAATGATTAAGATCATTCAAAATCTATTGTTCCAATACATTTCTATGTTCCTTAAACATGATTTGCGCAAGTATGGTTCAGATTACAAACATTTCGACGGACTCTTAAATTCCATATTTCAATATCAACTCAACATTTACCTATGTTAAACGCTATGATAAAGTCATAAGCCAGAGAAATTTTTTAATTAAGCCTTACCTTAAGTTAACACTCATCAAAACGTTTTCTACACTTGTATTCCTGTGAATCAGCCACAAAAAAACAACATAAAAATACATAGTGACAACTTCATTAGGATAAAATGTGAGTTTTCAATGTCACCAGCAAATGTCTCGAATATCATCTGATCAACACACACAAAACAAACAGATTTCATTGAGTCTTTCCTGTTGATAAAGCTCAATTTGGTTATCAAAATATCGGGAAAACATAGATTATCAGCGTAAACAACTTGTACCTTTTTTTATAAATTGATAATACTATATAAGCGAAATAATTCTGTTTTGATCAATACTGCAATACGACAGTCTCTTAGCTCCCTCTTGTGTCCGATCATTTAGCTGAGCAGTTAAATTATCCTTTACAATTCCTAGATGGGTTTGGTTGTAGTTAAGCACAAAGCTATTTGTACTCTTCCCACCCCACCACAGGTATCGAAACTCGGTTTCTAGCGGTATGAGTCCGCAGACATAACGCTGTGCCACTGGGGGCTCCTACATGGGGATCTTAAACCAATAATGTTATATCACTCACAAGACACCTTTTTTCCGTATTATGTTTTCAATTCAGGATTTTTCCTTTATTTGATATCACGTGTTTCATTAAACTTAATTACATGGGTATTCACCGGAGACAAAATAACAGTTCTGGTTGTGTTTAACGTTTACGTAAAATGAATTTACTGGTCGGCAACCAGCGGAAATAAGAACCAAGAATCAAGGTTTAAAGGATAAATAAGTATAGTAGGAAAAGCTTAGTTCAGTGTTAAGCCTGCAAAATAGAATGTTTAACACGTAGCTGGGTGGTGGTGTCTCCTCCAAAACAGGTCTAAAAATGTTCAGCCAACTCCCCTCCCACACACACCTGATAAGCCTTAGCTTCAAAGTAGTATTAACATTTTCAAATAAATAATCATTCATATTTATGAGCATACTGTTTGGAGAAGTTGAGTAAGTACAATATATTTATGAACATATTGACTGGAAAAGTTAAACGAACCTTTCGGTACTTCATAAACTGGAGTTTTTATACACAATGACACTAATTGTAGCTAATAGATATATACGTGCGAGTGTAAAGTATTAAAAGACGAGTTCTAACTGATGAAAAGTGGATATAAATCCTAGAGTCAATTTCTTATACAAGGCAGTACTTTCATAAGGAACTTACTTAATGATAGAATGAACTGGATATTTGTATTTTAAATATATTGAAATTTGCACTATAAACTATACGTTATCCACTGGTGGATACGAGTGGATAATACACCAGACTTCCAGCAAGAAGACCTGGGATCGAATCCTAGCTATAACCATCAGATTAGCAGCCGAAACGTAATACAGAATTAGTTAATTAGTATCCAGTCATTAAAAAGTTACTAATCTTTAATTAGATATGGGTGATCGTATAGTGTACTAACCATACTTGAGGAAGGATTCGTATTATGCTATTATATTAATAATAAAAGTTTAAACAACAATTTTTAAGTACAATGAAGTGATTCATCCTACACGTTTCGACAAGACATTTGTCTGTCTTCAAGTATCTGAAGAAGACAGTCCAATGTTCTGCCGAAAGCGTAGTAACCATGACAACGAGTTATAGCCTACGTCTCAGCACAGGTCACGGGAGGTAAGGATTTGGGGGAATCCCGCTTCTATTTATATCTAGAATTCAAACAAAAAAAAAACAGATCACAAAGTTGTGTAACAAATAAAATAATACAATGTCGTATGTAGCAGTTTGTGAAAAATCACAGTAAACGGAACAAACTGTCGGAAGTCTTGCCATTAGATAAACTAAAGACTGAAAAAGACGCACAAGTATGTCGAAACTAATAGTGTCCTAACAACATGTCTTCTGTTAGTTTGTTCCATTTACTGTGTCATTTACTAAACGAAGACACTTCACTAATAATAGTCACTAATTAAATTTAACGTACTACAAAAAATACCATCTCTTTAAAGGTTTATATATCAGCAAACTATAAATACTGTATCTTTCGGTGTATAAGACGCACTTTTTTACCCCAAAATTTGATGTCAAAATATGCTTACGTCATATACACCGAAGGTATGAATAATATATATGTATATATACACAAGCCACGTGTAAATATATTTAAATAGGCGTGCATAGTTTAGTTCAATTGAATGTGTTATGTATAACAATAGTAGTTTTTTTTCTTTTAAAAACATAACTATTTATAATGCTCCCTAAATAATAAAACAATAAATTACAGTGAAAGCAATGAAGATTTTGTAGGTTTGAACCAAACTAAATAACAGTAAACCTTTTTTCTTTACGGCATTTTCTTATTTTGATGTTTTGAGCTCTTTCGTGTTTAGAACACTATATACTAATTTTTAAAGTAT